CCCCAATCTAATGAAAATAGTTTCTCAAGGTTGGGAAGAGAACAAATGGAGAACATTCATTTTTAAGTTATTAGTTTAAGATTAAATGGGTAGCTTCAGTTTATAAAATCCAAATTTTTTCGTTAGAGTGTTATCCTGATATGCCAAGGTTGTGAATTTGATCCCTAGTCAGGGCATGTACAGGAAGCAACCAGTGGAGGCATAAATGGGTGGAACAACAAAATCAATGTCTCTCTCTTTTTTTCTTCCCTTCCTCTCTCTGAAAGTCAATAAAAATAAAACAAGACCAAAATTATGTGCTATCTACAAAGTTCAAAGATTTAAAATTCAGCTAACTTCAGTGCTTAAAGTTAAGATCCCTAATACGAAAAAAAGAGAGGGTCAAGAAAAATGCAAGCAAAACCTGAAGTAAATCATTTTACTTGCTTTCAAATTAAAAAAAAAAGGAAACATTCTCCTGAAAACTATATACAGAGATGCTGAGGTCAGACTTAGAGCTAAGAACATTTTTATTATTGATGTAAATATGAAACCACAATGATGATATAAATTTTTGAAAAATGTTGGCTTAGCAGTCTAATTAAACAAGACTGAATAGTTTGCATTTTAATGCTCAAGAGAAAAATCACCAACTGTTTTGTAGCATGCCTGGAATTTTAAATTTCATTTTCTGGTGCCAGATTGAAATAAAAATAGGAAACATGATAAAGATTAATTTGATGTCAGAAGGGACATTTGCTCTTTAATTAGATTTCTGTAGCCCTAGCAGTTTTGTTGTGCCACCATAGCAAGTCCTACAGAGCCTGCAGCACAACCAAACACTGATCCTCATATCCACACTTTACTGGGAACTAATTTCATTTCCTGCCTGTCTGGAGAGGTATTTTCACCAGGCATCAATGTGTTTGTCTTCACAACTGATTTATTCATCAATCTCAATGTGACTTTTTTTAAAACCTTTAAATTACACCCAAATCCTAAAGAAGCTGTTTATTACACAAGGAAATTGAAAATCTGTCTGTGTGATATCATACAAAGATTATTTTCTTAAGGTTATAAAGGAAGTTGACAGATATTAATGATTTTTTTTCTCTTGACCTCATTCGACAATACAGTGAACAGAAAAAAAGGAAGAAAACTGGACCAAAACAAGCTGGTCTATGGGTTTAGTGTATAAAATATTTCTCTAGAAAAAAAAAAAAAAGAAACCATTATTCCTGGTGGACTATGCAATCATTCTGTAGGATACTTTCATTTTCAAAAGGATAATAAAATAGCTAAAGTAATACTGAAATGTGAGCCATTATTTTAAAAATACAGTAGCTTTCTCTAACTTTCTCTCTTTCTTTTTCTTTGATGTGTGAATATGTGAACATGGCCCCCATGCCCAGGAAGCAAACATCTTTATGATAAAGGTGCTTTGGTTGATGCATCGGACAGGTGTAATTACATCCACAAACTGGCTCTGTGACCACAGGCTAAGGACCAACTTTGATGACTTGGACACTGGCCCCTGTACCCTGTTGTGATTGTAATGAGTTGAGGGACATCACGGGGTAATGGACTCTTGGATCCTGGTTTTAGGATGAACAACTTGTTGGGGAGGCCTGTCCTTTAACGTGGAGGACTGTACTCTGCTGACCTGCCCATGAGTCTGATCTCAATCCCATCAGCCTCCCTTTATTCACTGGGCTCCCACGGACCATCTTTCCATGTCCTGGACCAGCCACACCCCTCCCCAGAGTGGTCCTTCCAGCCTGGAACCTCTTCTCCTTCCTGCTCTCCTGGCATTCCTCCCACACCCTTCCTGCCTCCCACTATCTTCAGGTGTCTGTGTCAGCCCTGGAGGGGACCTTCCTTCTTCATTCCAGGCAAAGGCTCTGCCATCCCCACATGCACCCTGCAGTTTGTCCTCCTCTATTGTTTTTTTCTATGAGACTTTACTAATTTATCTGTTTATTACCACCCGCTACCCATCCAACTCTGATGTGAGCTGCATGGGGGCAGAGGCCTCCTTACCTGTTCTCACTGATCATTCAATTTCCAGAGCCTAGACAGTGTCTGGCACACGTTAGGGGTTCTATTCATCTTTTTGGAATAAATAAAAGTTTAAAAAACTTCCAGGGGGAAAAAAATAAATAAATTAAAAAGACTTCCAGGGAAATAAGGTTCTGCAAACTACCCTATAATTTCTTCTAATGTTTAAACACTTTTAGAATTCATTTTAAAAAATGCTCTCATTTGTCCAAATTATTTTATTGACTACCCATCACGATCAAGGCATTGTTAAAAGTGAGGCTAGTCACTGTAGTCTTTCAGTCTCCACATTGGGTCCATGCCATTTTGTCTTCTCTTACTAATGTAAATTGAAATCAGGTCTTACCATTTTGGTAAGGACACGTTTTGGGATACAGTAATAGAACTGACTTAAAGATTGATGAATAACCTACTCAATGTGATTCGTTCTATTTTTTCCTATTCAGATCTCTTGAATTTTCACATGTGGCCTTATGTAATTCTGAAATGTTGAAAACTAGTCAGGGTCATGACCAACTCACCTAAGGTATTGATATATATATGGAACCATTTCTAATTGGATAAATTAGAAAAAAGGTGTCCTTTCTGGATAGAGCTCTACTCCTCAACTTGTTGAGGGGATTGTGACTTCCATATTCTTTCCTCTGAGAAGAAACTGCCCTGTAGGACAGTACTGTGAGCCAAGACTGGGCCCTGAGCTTCCAGCAAGTCCCCTTAGGCAAGATTCAACCCACACAATGGAAGATTGTGTCTTTTAAACTATTAATCCTTCACAGAAACACTATTGGTTCCTTAAAATGCAAGGACACCCAGGAGGGTCCCTTTTATTGTAAGTGGTGTCTGATGGAAAGACTGGAAATTTGACCCTGTGAGCATCAGTTGCTGTCCACAAACACCACTGTGGACAAGGCAAGTCGTGTAAGTCAGCTTTCCCGAGTCTTCTTCCCTAGTGAGCCAACAACCAGTTCATTGAGCATAGCTAAGTAAGTTGTCAGAGCTTTATCAATATCCTTGGTTTAGACACCAAGGAAGACATCCGCTATGCTCTCCATAACCATGTTAATCTTAGAACTAATTAGAATTTAAAGACCCTCCAAAGTCTAATAAGACACAGATTTTCTAATGCAACACTGGTAGTAGTCTATAAGAATGATTAAAAGTCAGAGACAGCAGGTCTAGCATTTAAGAATCCAGGCTCTGATTTCTGAATAGACTGTAGTATGAATTCCAGCTCTGACCTTATGGGCACATTATTCAGCCCTGCCAACCCGAGTTTCCTCACCTGTAAAATGAAGATAATGCTAGCAGTACCCACATTATAAATTTTCTGAAATTAAGGATAAGATAAGGTAATATATTAAGGTTTGCTATTGTCAGCTCTCAGAAATTCTGTCTATAAATACAATAATAAAAATGAATTTGAGAGTACTTATATTTAATTCCTCTTTCTGCTTCCTCTCCACCCTCTCATAGTCCAATGAGAAATTCCTCTACTAGGTGCATGCCCAGTAGAAGCCAAAAATGACACAGAAAAAAAGAAACACATGCATAATAGAAGCCAAAAGGGGAAATGCCTAATCTGAAAAGAAGACTGAACTGGGTAGGGGGAGGGCCCAACACAAGCCTGCAAAGTTCTGAAAAATAAATTGATTAGGAAAAGGGCCTAGCACAAGCCCATGAAAAGAAAAATCGATTGACTTAAAAAAAAAAAAGCCCAAAATAATATAATCAAAACGTAACAAAGGTCTCTCTCTCTGTATAACACACATTCATTGCTCGCACATTCTCTCTAACAGTGTTGAGGCCTAACAGCCTCTCCAGCTGAAGCATGAACTTTGAGAGCGGCTCCCAGTGCAGGCTTGGCAGCCATGTGAACCCAAATGCAGGCCTTGGTACAACAACCCAACATCAGAGCCAGCCGAAAACAGAGACTAAACTACCCAAATGGGAACAGAGACTAAACTGGACTCAACTTTGACATGGACTGAACCATTAACAGAATTTCTAATTCTAGACTTCATGAAGACAAGACTCGACTTCTTCCACAGCGTGATGAGTGGAAATAAGACACTGGAACCTGGGAACAGTCTTTTATTTCTGTCCCAATAAATCTTACCACTACACCTTATCCTTCCATACAAGGGCGCCAAAAATGCTTTTCTTGGGACTCCATAAAAGGACCCCATTTCCACCAGCAATACAACTATAGACTCAAATTCCATAGAGGCCTACATATCAATTCTTTTCTTTTTTTAAAACTGTATTTTTATTGATTTTAGAGAGGAAGGGAGCGGGAGAGAGAGAGAGAGATAGAAACATCAATGATGAGAGAGAATCATTGATCAGCTGCCTCCTGCATGCCCCTTACTGGGTATGTGCCTGACTGGGGAATCAAACCATGATCTCCTGATTCATAGTTTAATGTTCAATCACTGAGCCACACTGGCTGGGCTAGATATCAATTCTATAGGAAGGCTATGTTTGCATATTTAACTCTGGCTCTGGAAACAATAGAATAATTTATAGCAGTGAGATAAATTTGATATGTTTGTAGGTTTTACTTTGACCTATATTTTAAAACAAGTTTTTATGATTTTTAAATGCTTTATGCCCAGTTTAGTTTACATCATTTGCTCCTCATTTTCAAATTTTAAAATAAAGCCAAACCCCAAAGGAAAACTTAATTTCAAAGGAAAGTTAAGATTGCACACAAATGGTTTCGATAATTGGGGCGTGGGCAGGGAGTTTTCCAAACCTCTTATATTTTCTAATGGATGCAGAAGCCAGGTATCCATTTTAAAATAAAACTGGTTAAAACATTCATTTCTTAGGACTTTTAAGGTTGTATCCATTGATACTTCTGGGCAGAAACAGTGCGCCTGATTTCATTTTACAGCCTTTATTGGACTCAGCAGTCATGCCTACCATGAGTTCCTTATATCTGAGCAATATTGTAAAAAACAGTATAGAGGTCTCAATCCCAAAGAGATCTTTAGTAGCAGTGGGCATCTCAAAACAACAAATGTACTTTACTCAAGCAGAAAACAAGGGCGATTAGAAGGTGAAGCAACATGGACATCATGAGAAGGAAACCAGTGATTATGAAAAGCAGCAGCTATCAATTATCGTGATTGTATAATGCTGCCCATACTCTCCACCTGTAAATTATATTTTTCAGAAAGCAGATATTTGTTGAATATCTTCAATTCTCTCTCCATTTAAATAGAAAACACATATCCCCCTCCTTGACTGGAGGAACAGACCGTACCCCCGCCCCCGCCAGCATTTCTGAAGGGGAGTCAAGAGCACGAGCACGTACCTGCTGCATGGTGGGTGAGTGTAAGGCAGACTGGACCTGCATGGGGAGCTGGTTCCCAAGGGGCTGCTGCATGGTGAGTGGCTGGTGCTGCTGCATGTTGAGATGCTGGTGAAGAGGTGGGCTGATCTGGAGGGGAGGAGGGGGGGACACGGCCATGTTTGCTATAGACACAGTCACTGGCATTTGGTTATTCGGCTTGGGGGCTATGCTCCTGGGGAGACTGGGGTGCATGGCAGTTAGGTGAGGACTCATCCCTGGTTGTTGGTGATAGTGGGAACTTAGGTACAGAGCTGAGTGGGCCTGGCTGGGCCCGTGGAACACTGACGGCTTTGAACTGATCAGCTGAGGAGGTTGAGAGGTCTTCACATCAACAGGTTCGCTGTAGCTCTGTTGGCGAAACAAACAAGAGCAGAGTTAAGAGACCGACCCACACGGTGTGATTTCTGTTAACATGATGTTCTGTGAGTTTATACATGAACTTCCATGTGACTCAACACCCATTGCTATTCTTTTTTTGTTTTGTTTGTTTTGTTAATCCTTACACAAGGATATTTTTCCATTGATTTTTTAGGAAGAGTGGAAGGGAGAGAGACACACATCAATGGTTGCCTCCCACAGTGCCCTGACTAGGACAGGGGATGGAGCCTGCAACTGAGGAGGTAAATGCCCTTGACTAGAATCGAACCCAGGATCCTTCAGTCCACAGGCTGATGCTCTATCCACTGAGCCACACCGACAAAGGCCTCATTACTATTCTTGACCCTCTTACCCAAGAACTCTGCCACCATTATTTGCAAGGAGGTTCTTCTATCTCTGATATAAAATCTGAAACCATCTATGATGACTTTTTTTCTTTGTATAAATGCTAAGCCTTAATTCGGTGGCTTTTCTCATCCTCCAAATAAAGAGAGAAAGATCAGGGTGGGATGGATGCCATCATTGTCCTAATAGGAAATGCATGCGTAGCTCACTTTGAAAGTAATTCAGTGTTGGGAGTTCTTCTATTGATTATCTGTTTAGTTTTGTCTTTTTTCTTTTTGTGTTCTCAAAGAGCCTTGGCCTAGATATTTGCACAAAGAAATCAAAGCCGGTTGATGGAAATGGATATGGAAGCAACGAGTTCTAAAATACCTTTCAGAAGTCATATAAAGCCACATTAATATATCTTCAAAGTAACCATAGAACTCATCTTGGTTTTTAAAGAAGTTGATGATGAATTGTCCCCCATAATGAACTGGATAAAAATAATCTCTCTTAGAAATTTTAGACTCCATCATAAATGAATATAATTTTGCCCTGATTTTTTTCATACCTTCATAGGGTCATTTCCTAATAATCTTTTAATTGGCTGAAAAAGGAGGCATATCAGTGGAAGCTGAAAAGAATCAAGAATCAGCCCTGAGGCATTTCTTTTTGGGCGTGAACCCACCTCCTACTTTGGCTGAGAGGAAGAGGCTGATATAACAAATGGTGAAAGGTGAAACCAGCTGGAGGAAGAAAATGCTAAAATGTCCTTCTGGGGAAAACACAAGGTCTTGATGATGCATAGATGCCCTTATCCTGCGACCTCCGTGTCACACTTATTCATTTTGTAAGTCAGAATGAGTTTCTGGTTCCTCCCGGCAATGGAGGGTCCTTCTGAGTTCCTCCTGGTCTGTGTGGCTCCGTCAACTGACAGGTACGCTAGGCAGACTGGTTCATCGCACGTGATGACATGAAACTCAATGTGGGAGCATCATGTAGGCCTACAACATTGCTAGCAGCACAACTCATTTCCCCTCAATAATGCAGGGAAATTAAATAAAACCACAGTAAGAACGATGCTGCATGTGTGTGCTGACTTGAGGAGGGTAGGCTGGTTAAATGGACTACCACCCCACATACTGTTTCTACAGGAAGGACACGACCGACATCTGTAAAAACATGCCTAACCATGGAAATGTGAGGTCCCATGAGACTGAATACTCCATGCAGAGTCTATAGAAGGTGTATCCAAAGGGTTCAAGTCCCTCCAAAGAATCCTCTCATTGTTTCTCTCTGTCCATGTTGATGCAGACTTCCGAACTAGGAATGGACATTCAGATGCCCTGTCTTCTGTAGCAACATTAAGAATGTCAAAAATTGTTCACAGAAACTTTCAAGAGGAGGCTTCAGACCAAAGAAGCATTATTAATTACTAGAGGCCCAATGCACGAAATTCATGCAAGAGTAGGCCTTCCTTCCCCCAGCTGCCGGCACCGGCTTCCCTCTGGCACCCAGGACCTGGGTTTCCCTAGCAGCCCTGGCTTCGTTCGGAAGGATGTCTGTAAGGGTGTCTGGTCTAATTAGCATATTATGCTTTTATTGTTATAGATAGAACCTAAAAGGTGTTTTCCATTATAAAATTAAGTCAATTTTTTTGCTCCCATTTAAAAAAGTCTTGTTGCACAGAGTAGTGAACAATTCAAGGAAAAGGTCAATCAGGTTAATTCAGGCCACGTAAACACCAACTAGTTCTACATCAGCATAGCATGTACTGGGGTGATATGCCTCAAACATCATTCTGTACATGCCAAGACGATATGTGTTTATTGTGTGTCTGTGTGTTTAAGTCATCAGGGAAAGTGTTTTCATTGTGTTTGCATTCCCTCTTCTGAGCCTACTGCACAAAGGCTAATTTCATATTTAGTCACATACTGTGGCACTGCCATTCAGGAAATAAATGATTACACAATGAGCAGAAAGCTATCACACTTAATGCATGTTAGTGCATCTTTACTTTTTGCTTTATAGATGTTTTAATTCAAACAGAAGAAAAATCACTCACATTTACCATATTCTCAAAACTATGAAATACATGTAATGGTAAAATTTTTTTTATCTTGGTAGCCGATAATTGCCTCATTATCTACTGATCTGGTATATAGAGCTTTAGATACGTAGCTTGCACTTGCATATACACCTGTGTGTATGTAAACCAAACGTACAGAAGTATATATGACATGTTGTTCAGACAATCATATAATCATCCCAAGAATTACAATAAATTTATAATCACATACATTTATTTATTTAAATTAAACAACTTAAGGAAATGTACTTATGCTACACTAGAATTGACTAATCCTAGTGAGTATAGACACGTAGCAAACAGCAGGGCTGGCTTCATGGGTGGATAGCCAGTCCTGGCAAGCAGTTCTAGGTATAACACCAACTTCACACCCCAACGCACATAGTTTCCAAACTGTATTGAAGGGGGTTTGTGGAAAAATAAATATCTTAAAACAGCCAGGTTCCATGAGAGAATATGTGTGGAAACAGCACTGGGTTAGAGAAGATTAAGGGGGTGCCTTCCAGCAGGACTCCTTAGAACCTTCACTCTGCGAATCTATGTATTGAATCTATAAGTAAGAACCACGAAAGTCTTCTCTTAATGGGTCACTTCATGGCAATAGTTTTCAATGAGAAATATTGGTGCAGGAAAATTAATAAATCACACACACATAATTTAAATTGGCAAATAGAACACACATTTCAATTTAAATAGTCATGTTTCTTGCCTCAAACTAACTTTTTATTGCCTCACAATGCATAGTGAAATTTCGTGCATCCAGGTACAATATTAAAATAATCATTATTTTATGTTTCCTGGAATACGATTTGCATAGTAAGTTTCATATTTCACGCTAAGAACAGTGACAGTTTCTTGAAGGGTTTAGGCAGTTGGCAGCTTCCCAATTAGAGCCTAGAAGAGCGAAGGTGTAGACATGCTAATGGTTTTCCTCAATGGTGAATCCAAAATAAACAATGAGCCAAATTCTCCCAAATTTCACTTTTTAAATAACAGCATGTGGTCCACCACATTGATGGATGATAGATAGATGTAGAGGTAGAAGTATAGACTTATAGATAAGTAGAAATAGATTGCAACCTAATCTGAGATATTTGATTGCCAATCTTGTGAAGGCTCTTTTCTCCTGGTAAACACAAAACCTTTTATCTATTCAGCCATTTCTTTGTCATCTGTCTTCTCCCGACTAAGGCATGAAAAGATCAGTAATGCTAAACCGAAATAGCAGTAACTTTTAATCACTGGAAGGAATATGGGCAAACTAGCTGAATAGATTTCTAAAAGGAATGATTTAGACAATACTTAACCATAATTTGTAACATAGAGGGAGAAAGAATCTTGGGAAGTTATGTGATTTCTCTTCACTTTCCAAGATATTTAATGTGACAAGATAAATAATGTGTCTAGGCATGTGACTGTACATGGCAGGCACCCCAACAGGGGTTTTCTCCCTGTATTCTCTCTTTAAAATGAAGTCCTCCAGTCTTGGACTCCTCTCCATCGAGGAAAGGACCTTTTTTTACAATAGTGACTTGAATCTCTGCATCCCATGCATCTGGCATGATGCCAAGTACACAGAGCACACCAACATGTTTGATGAATGAGTGAATGAGTCTTCTTGAGCAATACTCCACACAATGACTGTTGCCCTTGCTGAAGCTCCTGACAAAGCATGCTGCTCCTCTTTCCAAGGGGGGAGGAAAGATCTGAAATCTTTGAAACCTTACAGAATATCAGGGTGATAGTCCACTTTCTCCTTTGCTCTCAGCATAAACCACACCCTCCCAGAAGGGATGAGAAATGATCACCCTTAGCTCTGGCCCTTGGTTAGGTACTCTGCTCTTTATTCCCCACTGGATCTTGGGTGATGCAGGCAACAGGGAAGTTTACTGTGCTCCACTCATATTTTGAGAATTTGCGTCTTGATGTAAAGGTCCACTCATTCAGACAGGGAAAAAAAACCTACTTCTAACTTCATTTCTGATTAATTCTTAATCAGACTAATACAACAGACCATCTATTAATTATAGTGCTATTTTATTATTTTGGAAGATAGGAAGAATAAGTTCATTTTCCAGAACAGTGCCATGAATTCATAATCTGACTAAACGGGAATATGAAGAAATCATAAATTTAATATACTCTTACTCTAATTTTCTTCCAATTAAACTATGAGAGCAAGGCTACAATTTTGCAAATTAATTGTATATGAATATCTTTATACCTATCATTCATAACTTAGAACTATTTTCTCATACAGACTAAAGAATTTAAGATTGTTTCTATTTTCAAACACATTAACTACTTTCATTTTAGGGGGTGTGTGCTTTGTGTAGGTAACCTGATAAATGGGATTTTACTACTGTACACACAACTGAAAAATCAACCCTTAAATCAGACATTTTAATGCAAAAATGGTGTTCTGGCTATTAGTTTCTGAATAAGTTCTACTTCCTGTTTGCTTTTGAAACCATTATTCTGAAAGATGTTCTTTATAAGCAAAATGAGGATGCATGTGTGGCAAGAAAGACCATTGGGTCTTCTCAGTGGAATCTTC